GTCTGGGTGGGATGCATCGTGTTGGCATCGTGATTCACCATTTCGGTACTGAATTGTCCGGTATGCGCGAGATGTGCCTTGACCAGGTCGAGTTCTGTTCACACCAATCTTCTTGCATCAAACCGCTTCGCTTCAGCTTGTCAATGAATCTAATGAATCCGCCATCTGAGGTCACAAGGCTCGAAATAAGGTTTCTCAGTCCCTTGCCCAAATTCTTGTGCTTTTCTTCCTCAGGCACCCCGCGCAAACCATCCAGATCACACATCACCCACTTGCCATGTATGCCTCTCTGCGCGGTACCCAAGTTGTCCAGCTTTTGCATCCACTCCAACTTCATGGCCTGCTGCGGGCACATGAATGACATCTGCTTCTCCGGCGCATACGCTATGACATTCAACCAATCGTTCGCCCCAACATGCCTGGCATCAGCAACCACTGACAAAACAGATATGTCCTTGAACTCCTCCTTTCCAGTCATGAGGCAAGCATAGCGTTCAGCCAACTGATAGCGCTGCCCACTTTGTCCAGCCGTATTGGCAGACGATTTTGGGACCGCACTGATGCGTTCCGTCACCAAGACAACCGTCCAGTGAGTGCAGCCTTTGAAGGCTGTCTTCATCACAGCCGGTACAACGCGCACATGCACCGTTTGCTGATCCTTCAAGGGTCTCTTTTGGTCCCATTGGTGGAGGTAGAAGTAATCGCGTGGCGCCCGCCCACTCATATAGGCTGGGATCAATTGGGGTGGTTGCCCCGCCTTGCCACCAATCAAAACATTGACACCAAGGCTCAGCAAGAACAAGAACAAGAACAAGAACAACAAGAAAAAGAACAAGAACAAGGTACAAACAAAAACTGCAGCCCGTTACAACATATCTTGTTCCTTTGTTTCTACAAGGGGGTGGACACAAAATCTGCAGCCCTGTCGTTGTTTACTCGAAAACAACCAGCCAACAAGTACTTTTACCAGTGGTACTATACTAGTGAAATAGTCGTTGTTGTAGTAGTCGTAGTCGTAGGAGTAGTAGGAGGAGGAGCAGCAGTAGCAGTAGCAGTAGCAGTAGCAGCAGCAGCAGCAGCAGTAGTAACCGGTCGGCTAAGCCGCTGTAAAACTTCTACTTAGAACCTCTACCACATCCTAGAGACAAAAACTGCAGCCCCGTTGTTGTTTTTTGACCCCCCCTCTCAAAAGGTGTTGTTGTCTCTACCCCCTCCTAGAAACAAAGACTGCAGCCCCGTTGTTGCTTTTTGGACCTCCCCTCCAGAACAACACTTCAAAAATCTAAAAACGGACCAGCCCAGACTTCAGTGAAACAAGAAGTCCAACAAGTCCACCTACTTACGAAACCAACAATCGCTCAAACCTTCAACCGTATCCCTAACCTTGCCCCCTTGAAGTTCCAAAGTTACAGCAGGTGACAATTATGTTGGGTGGCTGTCGTTTGTTTCTACCAACCACAACAATATGTTTGCTGGTTAACATTTACCCATGTACGAAGAAGACTGGCTTCACTGCAGCGCTTTGCTTACTAACTGCTTGCTTGCAACTTCAAAGCCCAATAACATCTCACGACCAAGCACACCCCATCCCCTTTGGTGCCCTAACAACAACAACAACAACAACAACAACACCAACAACACGGTGTTCACTATGCATCTCGGTCCCCCCCGCGGCGAATACCTCGATCCTCGATCGACACCTGATACCACGTGACGTCACGCCTGTCGCGCTCTCGATACCACCAGAACTCCAAGCAGTTCCTGGCAGTTCGGTGCATCGGATTGGCTGCATATATCCCTACAGGTCAAGACGGTCAGGAACTGACCTCATTCTACTGGAGTTGGTCATACAAAAACACTACTCAAGGAGTTAAACAAAAAGGATCAAACATGTTTTACTGGGTCTTTGGACTTGTAGGGTATAATTTGAATATGGCCAAAGACTAGCACTGGGTCTTATTGCCTAATGGCTGGATAACAGTCTTTGGAATCAATGGTCCGATTTCTTCGTGTGGAGCAACTGAAAATCATCCACTCCTCCAGCCATGCCTAGTGGAATGTGTCCATTCACCCCTGAACCTTAGATGTTCCATCTCCTTACGAAGCCGTTGGTTCCTCTCTCCTATCTATCGTGTAAGGACTGTAAGGATCTACCAAGGATCTACCACATGCACTTCCGTCCGTCCCTTGGTTTGCATCACCTGCGCAAACAGTTCAGGCCTTTGCCACCGAGAACAAACAACTTGACACTCTGACTGCGCATCCTTGTGAATCTGAACACCTCCACCATGCCCTTCAATGTTCAGTTTGTTGCAGGAACATCAACGGACAGAGCGGTGAGCGGTTCCAGTCAAAATAGATCGTGATTTTGCCTTTGAAACCACATTCTCTGCACAAGTTTAGGACCAGGAGGGGCTGTAAAATGAAGCTTGGTGAACTGTGCAGAAAAACACACAAAGAAAGAACCTCACCTTATATATTTAGCCAAGCCATCTCCTAATACAAAAATGAATCAGGATGTCTTGTGACTCACATAGGTTTGCTTTGGACCATCCCCAAATAAAGTCGGTGTCAAGTCTTGAAGCACATTCTGGTCTGTTCCTTCTTCCTGAGTTCTTCACTTTTGCCCATTTGCTTGGCCAATGTCTCTTGCTCAAACCGCAGCAGATTCACGTGAAAAAAAAATAGACGACGAGTGGCCCGAAAGCATTTTTCATCACGTAGGAAGTCAGAGTGCGAGTTATCCGGTAAGTGTGCAGTGAGAAGTGTGAAGTCGAGTGAGTTGAGGTAGTGTGTGGGTTTCTGTGCGTGTGTCTATTTGCGTGTGGAAATGAGTCTGCGTATGTGTGTGTTCGTGTAAGTTGAGGGAGTGTGTGGGTGTCTGTGTGTGATGCGGCCTCCCAAACCCCCCACCGGCGGCCAAGCGGTGACAGCCCAGCTCATCGTCCTGAGCATTTGGGCTGCTGGTAAGGGGACAATGGCAGCCAGCGTGCTGGCTTACCCACTTCAACTATGATGGTAGCCAGCGTGCTGGCTTTGCCATCTCAACAATGGCAGCCAGCGTGCTGGCTTACCCACTTCAACTATGATGGTAGCCAGCGTGCTGGCTTTCCATCTGGACAATGGCAGCCAGCATGCTGGCTTACCCACATTCCTTCGCTCCCCACATACTCCGCGTACTAAAGTTGTACTACAAAGTCGCCAGTTCTCATCTTCCAGCTCCCCAGATACTCCGTGTACTAAAGTTGTACGACAAAGTCGCCAGTTCTCATTTTCCAGCTCTCCAGATTCTCCGCGTACTAAAGTTGTACTACAAAGTCGCCAGTTCTCAGGTTCCAGCTCCACAGACTGCTCCACGTACTACAGTTGTACTACAAAGTCACCAGTTCTCATCTTCCAGCTCCCCATATGCTCCGCGTACTAAAGTTGATGAGAACTTCGCCAGTTCTCATCTTCCAGCTCCCCAGATACTCCGCGTACT